ACTTTCAAACTGTCTATTGTTTGTTAATTGCTTTTGTCAACATCCTTCTTGTTGAAGGATAAGCACGACGAAAATCAAAGTAAACTACTGGAAACATTTTTTGGTGAATAAATATGGAATCGTGACCGTGTTTTAATAACCTTTGTTATGCAGATTTCTTCACATGATAGAATCATTTACGTCGAAATTTCATACGTTTTATGAAAGAAAACATCAAAATACATCGCTAGATCTAGCTCAAACGCCAAACCCCTTTTTATATGGGTTGTTTGCAATATATAAATATGTGTTTTTAGCATCACATGGAATGTAGAATACATGGAATATAGGCTATTGCATTTGTTTTTTTCCCAAGAAATTTTTAAGACTTTTTAGGCCATTTTTTTGGACCGAAAATTAATTCTTTTTTCTATCCAAAGTTCTAATTTTAAATAAAGCAATTACGCCTAATTACAAAAATATAATAATTTCATGTTCATGTAATTCATGTTTGAGATAACTAAAAAAAATTCATATTATTTTAATTCTCAATGTGAAATAATGTACAATCCACGTTCACATTATCATTCCCAAAGCCCATTATTAACAAATAAATAAAACCATAATTTATTTAATTAATATATATTTATAATTATTTATATATCTATATGATTAATAACTAAATTTTTCAATGTTTCTCTTATATATTTAATTTTATCAATATACGACAATTTCGTGAAAGATTTGTCCAATGAACTTTTTGATGTTACTCCTTTAACAATCATTATTAAATTGAATAATGCAATTACCCCACAAGAAATTTCATCTTCTTGAGAAACAAAAGAATCTTTGAAACGTATATAATTCTTGGGATCGTTTAAAAATGGATATAATCTTTTAATTACCTCCAGTTGTTATTTTGACACTATTTTTCTATTGAAACTATCATATACATATATCATAAGATCAACAGGGTTATAGTATAAACATATCCAATGAACTGAGCTTCTATCTTCTTCTTGACCTCTTCAATTTTATAATCTCCAGAAAAAATACAGTCCGGGTCGAACATTATTGATTTTGATTAAAATAATTTTCATAAAATACAGAAATGTATACTTCGATTGAAACTACATTCCATGTAGCGCTTGAATGAATAATTTGATGGAAAAATCAAATTAACGTTAAAAAAACCATTTTAAACAACGCAAAAAGAACGCAGAGAGAAGCGAAGCGACGATAACAAACACAGGTAATGTGAATATATATACATATGTATGAACACGTTTTCATAAAAAAAACCTAATGTCTAATTTTCTACTAAATCGAATGTTTAAATTTGTTGTTCGAAAAAAAGAACTTTTGCTCTCATTCTCAAAAGTGCACTGAAAAATATCTGTATCTTATTATAAGCCATTATTGGTTGGCTTCTCATTTTGAACAAACGATTTTGTCACTTTATTCGTTTTGAACTATCTGACTATTTTAGTGAGTGAAAGACAATTATCACTGATTGAAATTCGATTACACATTCATTTTAAAGTTGTAAACACAATTCATCAAAGTCAAAGGAAATTGTTATCGCCGCTGTTTTCGGAATCTCCCATACTATCGTGCAAAATAAACAGCTCATGCTGTCAAGAAGCAGTTAATGTGTGTTGGAAGAAGATCAGAAGAGGAAAAAAATCATACACATGAGTTGTTAGCATATTGTTGATGTGATTTGTCATATTTATTCGATATTATTCTTAAATATTCATATTTTGACATTATTTTAAACAGGCAAATACGAAATGAAATTTGATTTATTCTTCAACGCGATATTTACGGGTGCAAACAACATTGTTAACTGTCATTGTTGCGATCATTTCCTTGTCACCAAATTCACGAATAACAGTGGATGCTGGTTCACCGCCAACTTTTTCGGTCAATTTATTGTCGCCTAGTGTCATAACGCACTTCTTTACTGTACCACCCATAGTTTTCATATCGAATTCCTTGCCCAATTCGAATGTGCTTTCTGTGGTTTTGAATGTTGATGAGGTGATCAATTTATATTTGCCATCGGGCAGTTTTTGCAATTCAACGGTCGGTGAAACACTATTAGCAAACTGGCGTCCGATCCATCCAACACCGAATTCTTTCAAGTAGTCATCGAAATTTTCCGATTCATAGTTTTTGTATTTTTTTCCTTCCCAAATTTCTTTAGCTATTAAAATAGAAAAAAATGTAAAAAAAAACACGCTCATTTGATGAAACAAAGCAATTTTTCAACTTGAATAAAAAAAATTCAATTACCAGACGCGACAGCTACAAGTGCTACGATGAGAGCGATGATGAACTTCATTTTTGATGCTTTCGGTTGAATAATTGAACAACGACTGATTTCTTTATTATTAAATAATTGACAACCATCCAATGAACTCGCATGAAACGAATTTGAAACAGCAGTAAGATTAAACTAGTACAAGATAAGAAACTTGTCATTGGTGTCAACGAGATTGTCGGGTACGCAACAAAAAATAGACAAAGTCTATCTAATGTGTTGACGTTAATCAAGTAGTCGTTAAAATTCCGATCTAATTGTTTTTGTTTTATACTCTGTACACAGAGAAAAATGTGATTCGATTGAGCCGAAAAATTTTTTTTCAATGTGAATGGAAAAACACCAAACTATTGCTCATAAATTTGATATGTTTTCTTAACCGTGCCCTATTTTGTCTGGTAATGTGGGACACAATTTTCGAAAAATCCATCTTCATTGCAACGTTTGAACGATCCACTGTTTGCTTTTGTCTCTCGTTGAAAAGCATGATGAAAATCAAATCAAACAACAGTAAATCTTTTTTGGTGAATAAACATGAGGACGTGACCGTAGACCGTGTGTTAAAAACCTTTGGTATGCAGATTTCTTTGCAAACATTTACGTCGAAATTGTGTACTTAAATGAAAACAATATCAAAATTCATCTTTATTTAGTTATTTAATGCGACGCGTGCAAACCGGGTGTGACGCGTGCAAATTCACAATGTGGAGTGATTCGTGGTCGTTTTTTTTCTCTTCGCTTGCTCGCTTTGATTGTGTATCGTGAGCATGTATTATTATTCGTGGTCACGTATAGATCGTAATTTCTTTTTATCGTATTATGTCAACACATTACCACTTTGCGCCATGTTAAATGCACAATTTGTAATGTGAGAATGCGTTCAATCGCTGCTGCACAAATCTTCATTTTTTGCGATAAACCCATAAAACTATCTAGAGCTTAAGCTCGGCGGGGTCCAATGGAAATCTATGTGTTTTGATCGGTGTGAAAAGATTATCGTTCATTTGACACCAAGTAATCTCTACGCCAACAAAAGACTAAATCCACCATGACAAACCAAACAACATTAAAAATGAATTACAAATGCTCGGGTTTCGATTTCCTTTTTCCACCCACACTCTTAATTTGCATTCATTAAAATGTATGAAATCCAAAATAAGTTTTTAATTATTTTGAAACGGCAAAAATATATTTAATGCAAGTGCACAAAAGGGGAATGGATACGGGAATACGGTGAATGAAAAAAAAACACTTTGTGAAACAAAAGGTTTTTTGAGCATGTGCGTGTTTGAAGAAATTTTAATTGACTTTTAATAAAATTCCATTTTCCGGTGGTTGTGTACACGATTTGCATGGTGCTGGTATGGTTGCAAGCAGCAGCAGCAGTGAACGGCAGCATTTCAGCGACCCTCCGATTTTTCGTTCTGTACATCTCCCTGTTTCCTTCTCTCTCATTTCCTCACTCTTATTCCCTGTTTCACTCTCTCTCTCTCCTTCTCTGTCGCACTCTTCCACTTCCTACATATTTCTCTCTCTTCCCATCGTATGGTTAAAGAGCAACGAACCCCTCTGCAATCACAACAAAAAAAATGATTTCACAGTGAAAAATCCATTTCATAACTAATTTGTGTTGTTGCGATTGCAGAACTTTATCGTATTTTGCGTCGACTCTGTGATTTGATTATGCTCGAACGCAACGCGGTAAATGCACGAATTTATGAAAAAACATGGGACTCTCAACAATCGAGAAAAATCAAGTACACATTTGGGTGTCGAGTGCAGGCGAATTTTGTAGCCTGAATGGAATCTCGACAATGTTTCATACACGCACAAAATGAACTTATTTCAGCATTCTTTGCGCAGCTATTAAAAAGCTGTAAATATTTTCTATTATTACAAGATTAAGTTATAGCTGGAAAAAAGTGCATTGAATTCCATTGGTTAACCAAGTGTATGTCAGGGGAGATACTCTGCTATGTCACATTTTGTGCCTCTCTTTGGATTAGTACATAGAAAATTTATTTTTAGATTTTCACGCGTACATGTATGAACCCCACACGAGCACACGGTACACTCATACGAGCATACTCTTGATTAAATTTTCAAGTGTAAATTGTGACATACAAAACATTTTTACTGATAAATAACGACATTTTTGCAACGGGAAATTACAATGCATTGAATGAGGAGCGGGAAAAAAAAGAGAGCCGATCGTAATTGAGTGGCTCAAAGAATGAAGACAAGTTTTAATTGAAATGCTCTTTGGATGCAGCTCGCTTAAAAATGGGGTTTCATAATTGAATTTAAAGCGAAACAATTTTGATTGAAAATGTTGTTCGGTTCCGTTCCGTTCTGTTCCGTGTATTACATTTTCGAATGGCTCTGTGTAAAATTACGCATCATGTTCAATGAACACCATTCACATACACACACACATCTTTCGATATAGAATTTAATGAAAAATGTTGCAGCAGCACCTCATCATCATATAGAAAATATGGCCGAGCCCGCTTGGCTCATGTACATCGTCAAACCACCGCCGCGATTTGATTCATTCACATTTTTATGTTAGCCAGAGAAAATGTTGTGCACAATTTGCTGTGTACTTAAATATTTTACCTGCAATCGCAGCAAAACACTGACCATATCCATATCATTGTGCGTTCGCGTCTATTGTTTATTGATTTTGGTGTTGCTTTTGCTTGTGTCCAACCGGACGATACAGTATTAATTCAAACAAAAGCGCCAGGCTACTGGAAATAATTTGCTTTAAAACGGCTACTATAAAATCGTGTCTGTGTCTCGATTTGCGACGAAAATGAAAATTCATGTGTGAAACTTCGACTCGAATGAGGGGGAAAGAGAAAAATATGGTTCTTTTGATTTGCGCGTTGGTTGACCATGTCGACGACATCAATTTTAATATAAACTGAAATAAATGACAAGCGTTTAGGAGCCGAGCGTATCGTCGTTTTCGCAGCGGAGTTTGAACCCTTTGTTCCGTTCATTGGCTTATTTTTTTCCCACTCTGCATTATACGCTACACCACACATAATATGTGACCATTGAATAAGTGGAAAAACGAAGATTCATTCATCGAACCAGTTGCACGAACCTCAATCCAATAGATATAGCGACAAAATTCCGTTTCGTTGATGTGACCAAACCGAAAATGACGTTTTTTTCTCTCACTCTTTCTCTCTTCTGGGTAAATTGAAAACTGGATTGGATTTTTTCTCCCACACTCTCCCTATATCTGTATTGGCATTTTCTCTCGCACCATAAAGTCAAATTGAATTCCACTCGAAAACTTTCAATTAGCCAATGCGTTCAATGTATAATTAAATAAGGTTGAACAAATGGAAAAGGGGTTTCTTTAGGACGGCAGTTATCTGCATTTGTCATGTGTTACAAAAACAAATCGGGCATACATTGCGGGAAGGGATCTCGACTTTGTTATTACTCCGAATGGATTGGATTTTTTTTTTCATTCTCATTTCGTCGAGTTTTCACACAAGGATGCGAGTGTGAATTGGGGCGCTTCAACTTTTCAAGCACACTTCATGTCACCGCACAATGGAACAATAGCAAAGGAACTTTATTCAAAATTGGCCATCACTGCGTACACACCACGCAATGGACTCGGTCGGAAATGTTTGAATTGATGCCAAACTCGGGCTCGGTTTTATTCACGATACGATTTTACAATGAACATGATATATGGAATTCTTCATCGTTTTTGAGCTTCTATGAGCTTGAGTTTATTTCCGAGTGTGTCGACCTTGCCTTGAAAGATGTGTACTCATGGTTTTGATTGTGAATTCATTGACTTTATGGTCAAAGAGATTCATAAGAGGCAGTTTAGATTTATAACATAGTAGAGGCCAATAGTTGACTGGAGGCAGTTTCTATATCTTTGATTTAGCTCTCTATTTAGTACTGGTTGAGTCCATTGAGCAACGACCCTTTTGGCACATCACATGACAATCAGCCATTCGAATAAACTATTTTCCAACCCCATAATTTGTTAGCGCACACATCCTTTCATTATGAAGTTGAGTGTCTTTGATTTAGCTCCAACTAAAGTGCTAGACCAATTAAAATCTCCCCAAGATGATGCAAATGAAATTGTGCATGCACTGATATGAAACGCAAAACGTTTCTTGTAATCATTGTGCACATAACAAAGACACCCAAAACACACATACTCTCATGTTATTGCATGCAAAAGGATTCGAAAATCTCGTTTAACGATTTAACCTCAACATCAAGAATTTCAAAAGCAGCAATGTTCTATTAAAATCCTTTGTTCTTTGCCATTTCAATTTGGTCTTGCTCCATGCCGAAGCGATTGTATTCCCTGACTCGATTCAATGCAATATTCCCTAAAGTGTTAAGAGGAAAGAAAATTTCAATTTTCGAGTATGTCAAAAACATTTGGGAACCATTTGCCAGTAGAATCGTAGTTTGCTACGCCCAAAAGAAAAACAAGTAAAGATTATGATATAAAATTAACTATTTCATTCAAACTGGCAGCAGTATTTGCATTTCAACTGGCAATACAGATTCATTGGACAAAATGCAAAGCTTTCAATTACAGCTCGCACTTTAAATTCCAATCCAACTAATAAATAAACTTTTGCTCAATTCATCCGAAGATTAATCGTGTGATGTGTTCTTTATCTACAGGCAATTAAGCATTTCTAGCAGCAACAGCACCAACAGCAAAAGGGGTTTTAAAGGCATCGAAATCGAAGCAAGCGAAAACATGACTTCTTCACGTTTCGGCTTATCGTGCTTTGCACCAAATATGTTTTTGAGTTTGGAATTTGCGGCGCGAAACCGAAATCCATTGTGTGTTGTAGTCAGCATATGTTTCACTTGAACAGTCTCAAAATCTCATAATTAATGAATTGTTTCGATCGAAGCACGAGCGCATCGCTAATATATTACGTTGATTATCCGCCATCCGCTCCATTTATCGAGCTATACGCTGTGTTTTGTGCGAGTCGTCAAAATTGGCGAGAACGGCGTTTTCCGTTTTTATGTTTACATTCGGCCCGTTAATTTAATATAGAATTGATTTTCATTTGCAACGCAATCCACATTCGGCTCATCCTCTTCCATTCGGTGTTTCGATATAATAATTCATTACGGAATTTCGTTACACACAGATGTTTCGCCGTGTGCGTGGCACTGCATGCCACAGCATGCCATTTTCTTCGTCAATGCGCTCAAACATTTCGTTTTATTTTGTGTTTTTCTTTCTGTCGGGCAAAATCCAACTGTAATTGCATGCATAAAAGAGACGCGTTTGTAGTAAGAGAATGAAAAATGGATCAGATAGAAATTCGGTTGTGAGAAAGAGAGTGAACATGAACAACCAGCAGCCAACACTCCAAATGCGA